AGCTCTATCATGAAATGTTGCCTCAGTCCCTAAATTTTAAAGAAATACATGTGAAACAGTACATTTAAAACTTTTAAACTGCTTTTGGGCACCTAGGTGGCTCAGTTGGTTGAGTGTTGGACTCTTGATTTTGGCTCAGGTCATGATTTCATGGTTCATGGGTTCAAGCCCCGTGTCAGGCTCTGTACAGACAGCATGGAGCCTGGTTGGGATTCTCTCTCTTCCTCTCTCTCTGCCCTTCCCAGGTCACACACACATACTCTCTCTCTCAAAACAAAATAAAAACTTTAAAACATTTTTTTAAACTACCTTCTTTTTGTGGGGGGAGCATGGTGACATACTTGGGAACTCCTATATTCTGACTACATATCAGGATAAATGTCTAGTCATTTCAGTTTCCTATTCAGTGCATGTTATATCTGGAAAACTACTTCTCCCCCTTCTTTCTCTCTCCAAAAGTAATCTGAGAAAAATTCACTTGAATTGCCATCTGACTTTTAACAATCTATATTCTGTTTGGAGAACTTGCTTGCAATTCTGACTGACTTACAAAGATAACAGTGATGATATGGATCGGTCTGAAAGGCCAAAAGTACTGCATTGATGTTCCCTTCTTAAATACAGACAACATGGTGGGTTTGTTGTTTTTTTTTTTTCTTTAAGAGTCATTACCTCTTATAGTCTGTTCACTGTTTCCATACTTCCTGGTAATGGAGATTCCGGTAACATTAGGTTTATATTTTTAGATTGTTAGCTCTCCTCTCCTCTCCCTGCTTGAACCACTTTTATGATTCAGGGAGGGGTTGTAAGAAAAGGCAGATCCCATAAGCTGTATGAATACAGATTTTAAAAAATTGTAGTTTATGATATCTAGATGCTCACCTGGAGGGAAGGGAATTTAGGAGTAAAATAAAAAGGACTAAAATTTAAGTCAACTCAGAAACAAGATATGTCTATGATGAAGTAAGGATTTAAGCTGGAAAGTTAGTTGTTATGGCCCCCGGTTGTATATATTTTATCCTCAGGCACCATTTGGTTTAATAAAATGTAGATCTGAGGCTGTTCTTAACCTATCAGTTTCTTAAGACTTAATTATAAAGGTTATATTTTCAGAGGACAAAAGCATTATTCATTTCTCTGTTCATGTCTTCCAGGTTTATCTTGCAGATTATGGACTTTGCTACAGATATTGTCCCAATGGGAACCACAAACAGTATCAAGAAAATCCTAGAAAAGGCCATAATGGGACAATAGAGTTTACCAGTGTGGATGCCCACAAGGGAGTAGGTAGGTTTCTTTTTTTCTCTTTTTCTTAATTTTATTTCAGGAGAATGATTAAAGAGTAATAAGGCCTATGAAATGACCTTTGCATAGTCAGTTTGAAGAGTGAGAACACTGACAAGATTTTTATCAAAAGTAGTGAATTCTGTATGCCAGTGAGTATTTCTTCTAACAAGGGGAGGAGGTAGAGATCGTGACAAGTGAGACGGGCACAACAGAGTGTCAAGTAAGCAAAACTTGATGGATTTGGGGCAGGAAATTACTAGTTTGTATGGGTTAAACTTGTAGGTCGGCAACTGAATCTGTATGCTGTCGTTAATATCACAGATTTGGTAAAGGTGCACATGGGAAGAATTATTCTTGTTTTTCACCATGCCCTTATCAGAGCTTTAGAAGATATCATCTTTCCACGATAAGGAAATCTTTTCTGAAACTATAAAGTGTTAACTTGTGGAAATCTCTCCTAGTCGCCTTTCATATATCTTACTTATTTAAACTCACTTTGATGGTATTGGAAACACATTTGCAGGTAAATTACATACATAGTCCTTTTATTGGATATTGATTGTACTGCCTTGCATTCCAAGGCAGACTTAATTCAACAATTCCCTAATTAGTTAAAGTCATAACCTATGTCTTGTATTCATTTACCATTAATTAAACCTTAGCTGTTTATTACACTGCAGTCCAAATCCAATAGCCGACCCAGAGAGCCATGGAAAAGGAAGTAGGAGGTCAATATTGAAAATATATGGTGCAGAGTCCCACCGATGGTTGCTTTGTTCACAATCAATATGGTCAATGCAACTGTACTTTCTTAGTTGCTCTGTCAGCAAGACAAAAAGTCAATTCTAATGTTATGCTAGTAAAAAAAATGGTGAATATTGAAAAAGTTTGGCTTTCAAAATTATATTCTTTGTAAACTTTATTTATAAAAGTATTTTAAAATATGCTAAACCATACAAAAAATTTACAAGCAGCTTTGAAAGGACCACATTTCACTCAGAGGCAATTAGACATTTGCACTTGTTAATGGCTGTTGAACTGTTACCCTAAACTGATACTTTCTGACGAGTTTTAGTTGGTGCAAACAACTGTATATTATTGCCTTTTCTATTAAAAGGACCATTGACCATGTAATGTAGAAGGTCTTGATCATTTTCCAGAGCAGTTAAAACCCACACTAGTGTGAGGTAGGCCAATGAAAAAAGTGAAACAAGTGTGTCAGTTGTATACCTTCTTTCCGAGAAGCATCATAGGTTAAATTTTCTGAAATGGAAATTAGCGTTTTTATATTCCTGATCAGAGTAACAGAAATCACTACATTTTTCCCCAATAATAGGGTAGTTAGAAAAGTAGTGATCACTCAGAAACAGTAATATTGTATAATTTTTCAACGTTTACATTGTTAATGAATCAATGAGCATTTAAAGACGTAAATGGGACATGGCTTTAATTAAATTAAGAAATGTAAGAGTCAAATGCTTATTGATATATATTTTTTTCAATTTAAAGTTCTTGCACTCTGAATGAATTTTGTTCCTTACTTTTGCCAGATGTATTGGTATGAAAGAATTTGCAGAAACCTGGAGGTACTTTTTTCATAGTGGTGTAACTGGAAATTCATCATACAGATTCTTAACCGTTGGTCTAGTGATGTTAATGATATTAACTTATGGTTGGGCCACTTGCTTCTAAAACTGACTGCTCTAATACTGATCCTGCCTGATTTCGGCTATCAAAATCACTAAGAAACCATAGTGATGGCAGAAGGGGAAGTAGAGTTGTTACATGTTGGTTTAGTTAGTGTTTGGACTGTGGTAATTCTGAACGTCCTCAACAGTCATCCCCTAGTTTAGGGCAGTGTTTTCATTGTGCCATCTTCATGAATGACTCAAATAACTTTTTTTTATTCTGTAGTCCATTTAAGTTTTTCATCCCTAAATAATAAAACGTGTTGATGAATTGGGCAGATTTCCGTATGCTATGTCTCTGGGGAGAAGACTGAACTGAGAAGGATGGTAGAAAGGTGGTATTACCTTCCTAGGAGGATAGTCAGGGAAGTGCCTATACGACATGTTTTTGGTATTTGCTAAAAAGTTAGATGCTAGGGTGAATAATTCATTTTTATCATGGGTTTCACCAGATTCATATAAAAAATAGATTCCCTTAATGCATTTAAAATAGAATTTACACTAAACTTCTAGGAATATCTATATCTGCACAGGTAGACGTATAGATACAGTTAACCCTTAAACAACATGAGGATTAGGGGTGCCAATGCCCCATGCGGTCAAAAATCCACGCATAAATTTTGACCCCCCATAACTTAACCACTAATAGCCTACTGAATAACCAGAAGCCTTACCGGATAATATAGTTGATTAATATGTTTTTTATGTTATATGTATTGCATACTGCATTCTTACAATAAAGTAAGCTAGAGAAAGAAAACGTTACTAAGAAAATTGTAAGGAAGAGAAAATGTATTTACAGTGCTATACTGTAAAAAAATCTGCATTTAAGTAGACCCGTACAATTCAAATCTGTGATGTCCACCATATACACATATATACATACATACATGCACGTGTACCCACATATATACATAGATACATATAAGTATGCATTGTTGCTGAAGTTTTAGTGTGCAGTTTTTAGTCTGGTATAAGAAGTGAAGGGTTTGATATCCTCAAATGTTTGAAAGCTATTCATTCCTAACATTTTGCATTTAATTTTCCAAAATAAAACATTTTACTTTAGGATTTTATTAGGAATGAAATAATCATTTAGTCATACGTAGAAACCAGAATAAACAGGGCCATAAATCCTGTAGGTAAATGCGAAAGGTCAGATTCATAAATATTCATGTGTTTACTTTTCAGTACAGTCACTATGTAGTTTAATCTCAGAAAAAAATCTTTTCTCTACCAGTCCAGCCGTGAGATCAAATAAATACTGAGAAAGATAATGCAAAGGAAAACATAAAGAGCAAAACAAGTTATCTCTAGGAAGTAGAACCTCTGGTTGTCAAAGCATTTGCTGTATGTCAGGTGTATCTGTGTCTGGTCAGGCCCAGGGAAATATACACGCTTCCGTGTAAAACTGGCTTCTGAATTAGCCACTTAACAGTCTGTTAACGTGATCAGACTATCTGGTCTCACCTACTTTTTCTAGTGGATACTTGGAAACCAGAGCTAACTCTCATTTTTCTGTGGATTACTTGGGTTTTTCTAATGCAAGCGTTTGTAAAGGTGCCAATCAGCAGTTTCGCCTAAGCATTTTCTAGTTCAACTTTATGTAAAAAGAAAGGCAGCTTGTATTATTACAAACCAAAAGCTATGAATAGAGGATACAGGGATGGATGGATAGATGGATGAGCATTTCCGGGACTGTCCTACATCTCTGTATATCCGTATGCTTTTTAAAAATTGGAGTTACTCTTCTAAACTCGGTTCTCTTATATGGCCTAAAGGTATTTTCTGAGTGGCTGAAATGCTTCATTTAGTGTAAAATTAGAGTAATATACATTGGGTTTATCTGTCTCTTCTATTATTAATTTTTTATTCTTCATAAACACTAACATGTATAAACATTGACATATTTTGGGCTTGTTGCCTGATAATTAAAGAGAATTATATCTGTGTCAAATATAGTGTTTTAAAATTTCTTACATTCTTAGTAATGTTAAAAAGCAATATTTGGATCAATGTGTGGTATGGATTTTTGTAGATTTTTCTACTCACTGAGGCATGCAGTCAATACCTAATTTCTCCAGAGATATACTGCATTTAACATATTGAGTTTTTTTAAATACTTCAGACCTCTACATTGAGTGTATAATACCTGTTTTAATTTGACATAATTGGTGACCATAAAATATGATATCTAAATTGCATTTTAAATGTCCATTTGTTTGTGTAATATATTCAGTATCAAGGAAAGAGATACAGACTTTTTTTATTTTTGCCAGTTGCTACGGTGTATGAAATCCAAGTCTTGTGTTATTTCTTGCACAGTTTCCTTTCACCCTAATCTAGCACTCCAGCTTACAAAATGTATGTGAAATAAACTGAGAGTGTATTTTCATGTTACCAAACTTGAGGAAATGATACGGTTTATACAATATTTATCTCCTTAAACAATGATTCAATTATTATCATAATTTTTCAATTATGATATTAAGGTAAACCATCAAGCTTGGATCCTGTTAGTAGTCAGAAAAACATACCATTGATTTCGATTTTTAGGTAAATGTGACTGCTATAAATAGTATTTGGTTGATATATAAATAAAAAATAAGACACTATTCCTTCTACATGGCATACCCCAATTTTAACATTTAGACATGACTTTTAAAGTCTTAACATAGGTCTTAATCTATTTTTGGGGGGTTAATAGTACACATTGGCCAAATGTAAGATACCTTTGAGGAATTTAAGAAACAAAACAAACAAGTAAAGAAGAGGGGGGAAGAAACAGAAAGGGAAGCAAACCAAGAAAACAACTCTTAACTACAGAGAACATACTGATGAATGTTACCAGAGGGGAGGTGGGTGGTGGGATGGGTAAAATAAAAATAAAAAATAAAAATAAAAGTAAAAAAGCTTTGCTCTGTTGAATAACGTTTCCTATGCCTCACAGAGTAGTGTTTCATGGACAACTTTAAAAAAAATATTTTTTTTTGATGGTTTTATTTTTTGGAGGGAGGGAGAGAGAAAGAGAGAGAGAGAGAGAGAGAGAGAGAGAGAGAGAGAGAGACCGAGCGCGAATGGGGGAGGGGCAGAGAGAGAGGAAGACACTGAATCCCGATCAGGCTCCAGGCTCTGAGCTGACAGCAGAGAGCCAGATACGAGGCGCTGGAACTCAGGAACCACAAGGTCACGACCTGAGCCAAAGTCAGGCGCTAACCAACTGAGCCGCCCATACGCCCCTTCATTAAAAACTTTTTTAAAGATAATGAAAAATAAGAGAGACCTGAGCTGAATATTTTATTTGAAATGTGA